CATCAATTGCCCTGGAGGTGAAACAAATTCGCCTTGGACTAGAGATCGATGTCAAGACGTTAGACCCAAAGGGCCGATTATGTATCCAACACACGGCGCTGGAGATCCCTCCGTGTGACACGTCAGTCTAACTGCAAGAAGGAACCATCTGTGAGACTCTCCCACCTGGTCTAAGTAACCGGGTGGGTTCTTTCCGCACGTCATGGGAAAACACCACCCTCCAGAGATGCGCAGGACTCTACAGACCCACAAGCTTTGGGTTGAGGTTTCCTGTAGGGGTGACGGATGTGCCCTGTTCCCTTCACATTCATAAATATCTGGCTCCTCCGTGACCAAGGACAGATGAAGCCAGTCTGGGGCCACAGACAAAGGCAAAGCCAACACCGAGGTCAAAGCCACAATCTTCACTGCTGGTCCTCACAGGCAAGCTAACCGGCCACAGGCTATAACACACAGTATGCAATGTTATACTCTACTATAATAAGGGTATTTCCTACATGCTAAGCACCACGCTGAGTGATTCGTATACTCTATCTCCTTAATTCATACAACATCTTAAAAAGTAGGTACTACCATCCCCCCTTTAACGGATAGGGAAATTGAAGATTAGAGAGGTTAAGTACATTATTACCCAAGGTCAAACAGCTAGTAAATGGCGGAGGCAGATTACAAGTCAGTAATCTGATTAGTAAACGGATTACAAATTAGTTCTGACTCATTCCAGAATCTGCGCACTTAACCCTTACTCCATATGCAACACAACATCCATCAACTGTCCTCACATACCAAGAAATTGTTACACTTCAGTGCTTCTTTGTGTACAGGAAGAAAAGGCTTCTCAAATATTCACTACACAAACTGCATTACTGCGCTGGGGATGTAACGGGTTGTTTTGCTTCGTTTTGTTTTGGTTCTTTTTTAGCCCTTTGTGCAGTAAGGGTCAGCTTCTTTCCAAAATTTGGCAAACACCCTCATCACACAACCAAAACATGTTACGCGCCCAAAGCGTGCACATTCCACGATTACAGCTTCTATTAGAACGCCTTTTGTCATCCAAGTCTCTGAACTCGGTTCCTATTC